GTTTCTTGAAAATATTCTTTCTACAGTTGCATTGCATACTGTTAAACTTTAAAGGTTAAAAAAAAGAGCAATCTATAAAACACGTGAAATCCTCGGCGACTGTCGCTTTAAACTGTGTGCACCTGCTGTAAAATCTCAGGATTGCCAATAAAGGTAATTTCATTTAATGGATAGTGTAAGATTAGTTGCATGGAAGATGTCAACTTCTATTTGAGTCTAAATAAATTATTTACTTATTAATTAATTTTAGTAGAAGCATTATTTAAACAAATAAGCATTTTATGATGTAAGGCGCCCAACCGGTATAGTGGTCAGCGTCGCTGACTGTTGTGCGGAAGAGCCCGGGTTTGAATCCCGGAGAAGGCATGGATGTTCGTAAATGTATAGTTTCCGTGCGGCATGGGGGGCACTGAATATTCGGCGAGCCGAAATATCTCTCGAGTGGTTGGTGGTAGGGGAAAAGGGTGGGAGGTCCTCGGTTTCGTCCCTCCCGGGGTGCTCTCCATCAAAATTGGAGGCGGAACTGAGCTAAAGCGCACTTTCACCTGTAAGGTGCTCAAAGCTGTTGCCAACGGCAGGCGCAAACTGGAGCTCTTTGCTACGAGAAATTTCGTGGGCTTGGGCTGATTATAGATCTGATGAAGTGAGCATTAGCAACAACAATGAGGTTTTTAAAAAACGTTAAAGTAGCAAAAATAAGAGGAGAAAATGAGGGAGTAGCAAAATCGCATACGCATAAATTTTAGTCCCGCAAGTTTGTCAAAAGTAGCCAATTAGCGAAAACTGCCGCCCAGGTGGTATAATGGTTAGGGCTGACGACTGCAATACCGAAGGGTCTGACTTGGAATCTCAGAGAAGGTATGGTTTTAATGTCCGTCCCTTCATAGGAGGTAACGGTGGCCGCCTATTAGGTGACTCCACAAGAAAATGGCCACCACTTCCGGCCTTAAAAGTGGCCAGGGTCGGAAAAAAGTACCCGACGTTAAAACTAGCGAAAACTTGTACGCTCTAGCAATACTTCTCAGCAGTATACAGCGAGCCCTACCAACACCTCCTAACAGAAGTTTGTTAGGAGGTGTTGGTCCTACTAGGCAAGGCCAAACATTGAAACCACAGCCCTCCAACGCAAATATCGATGCCATCAACGGACAGGGTTCTCAGCCAGGTCCGTAACACAGGTTCAATCGCGACGACAAGTCAAGTTACATGTTTCGATCTATCTAATTCTAGCCAACACCGGCTCTATGGTGTCGGTTAGAATCAGAGTAGTCGGTTGTAGAGTCGCTGTTGTTCCTGCACTACACGGTCGGATTCTCCAACTCCGTATTAGACTAAAAGCTCCCAAAAGGATGTCCTCGTTACGTATTCATAAACCGGGCGCAATGCGATCCCACTCCATTGAGAAGGAGTTTTAAAATTATTGAACTCTCACTTATAACCCCTTGCTGAACCGGCATCCCGTGATCACTAGTCCTGGACGTACGGGGACCACGAAGGCCTATCTTTGGCAGATGACCTACCCACTCGAACTGTCACGTAACAGATCCACGATCGAATCTCAAGCTCTTTTAACTCGTATACCGCACTTCTATCACTGCTAATAGGTGGTGCCACGAGCAAGCATTAACAGGAGCACAAGTGAGCCTCAAGGAATGCCAAAAATGTTTCTATAGAGTTCTTATATTCCGTTAAGCATTCATGTGGTTGTAAATGCGTTATTTTTTAAATATTTTCTAATCTCCGCAGCTTTTAGTAAAATGTGTCTCATTGAAAGAAAAGAGTTTAAATATAATAATAAATTAATTTACTCTTATTACTGTTTATCATCCATTTTCTTTTAGTTTTTCATCGTTTGGGACGATAAAATGTTTTTTTGTTTTTTAGCATTCTTGTAATTTACTTTCCAACTTTTGTAGTAATTACTTCCAACACATCTTCTAAGCATATGTTTGCAGTTTTTTATTAAAGAATCTTGCATAATGGAAGTAAGGGATATTCACCACCAGGGGCGTAGCTAGAGTTTTCAGCGCCCGGGGACAACTGAAGAATTTGCGCCCCTTTCTGTGTGCCAAGGATGGAAAACATTTCATTAAAAAAATTCGTAGCATCAGTTTGGTGCCCCTTGGATGCTGCGCCCGGGGACAGATGCCCCTTGCCCCACCCTAGCTACGCCACTGTTCACCACATAGATATATCAAAATTTTGAAGATTTTTCAAACATTATCGTTTTCTACCCTTCACTTTTGTTTTTTTCTTTTCTTTTGGCTGATCTAGATTGTTTTTCCTTCAGGTTCATCCTGGATAATGTAATTGGTATTCCTGCTATCTCTTTTGCATAATAATCCGTTTTGTTTTGTGCACCTTCATTCATATTTTCTTTCTACTATTTTGTCTTCTATTATGCGCAACTCCAGATCATCTCTTTTCTCTTCATTTCGTAATGTTGATATGCTTACATCATTCTTTTTTTTACGAACGGTGGGCAACTTGCCTTTCTTCAGCATTGATCACTTCTAATGCCGGAAGTGGTGGCCATTTTATTGTGGAGGCACCTAATAGGCGGACACCTTTACCTCCTATGAAGGGACAGATGATTTTACATCCATGCCTTCTCTGAGATTCGAACCTGAGCCCTTCGGTACCGCAGTCGGCTTCCCTAACCACTCTACCGTCTGGGTGGGCAATTTTGCGAAATTTTGACCGTTCGTTTTCATTTATACTCGAGCCTTAAATCACAGAATGAATGCAAAAATATTTACACTACTTCGTACTATAGCATCTATAGTTGCAAAACAGATGAACTGTGAATCATACATACTGGCTCATGCACACTATATAATATAGGATGCATATTTAATGTTATTACGCAATCATAGGTCGTGCATAAGATTTACTGATGTATGCGACACCAAATACGATTTTTATTCCTTTATCAATTATTGTGATGATTCATTTATATTTATATAAAAAATAATATAAAACTTTATTTTATTTTTATTTTCTCAGTTCGTTAAAATCTATTTTTATTTTGTACTGGGGTCACTCCTCTTCCCCGAAATACGGGCATTAGACATTTATCGTTTTTATCTGGGAGTTATCCGGCTTGTAGACTGCTGTTTGGCTGCAATCCACGTCTTAACAACCCTTATTCTTAAACTATTATAACACTGGTTGATTCTCAACCGACTATTTGTTTGATAGTGGATGCAATGAAAATTTCCCGCGTCCATTATTTGTTTCATGGTGTTCTATTTTATGCCTTAATTTTTTGTTTACTTTTTTTCGACTTGTAAGTTGGCCCTGTCATGAAAAAACTAAATATAAGTCCCAACTAAGAACATATAGTGAATTTGAGTTCAGAAAGCAGGTGTATCAGGTGAAGAACATCGGTAAAACAAAAAGACGAAAGTAAAAGTCAAGTGAATACATTGAACTGCGGTGCTTAACCACCAGGGTGCCTGGGCGCCATAGCCCTACCCCTCATCGAATAACATGATAAAAGTTTCGAATTATGAGAAATATAACTGAATGTGCTAAATAATTAAATGAGTAAGAGTTTAAATTCATAATTTAAGTACCTAATTACTAATGCATACATAATTAACTATTTTTTAACAACTATTTCACAGAAGAATACATGTACACACAAGAGAAACAAAATACGAAGTGCGACGCCTTAGTGCCACTAGTAAAAACAAAATGCAATCAGGAGGAAAAAACACAATATACAATAAAGTATCTGAGCAACAATTTGCATAACACATATACAAAATTACATATTACTAACATTTAGGATTGCCCTTGGGCGTTTACTGAAATTGGGGTCCCTAGTATCATAACTATTGTTATGATACTAGGGACAGGATTGTCATACTAGGATACTAACTAGGATACTAACTAGGATTGATACTAGGGATACTAACACAGGATTGTCCAGAAGTTCCTGTTTATCATAAAATGCCCTAGATAGACGGCAATAAAAATCACAAAGATCCTCTATTCTTAACTCTTTACGAATTTGGCTATTCCGAACGTACCAGGGGGCATTACATATCATACGCAATACCCCGTTTTGGGCAGCTTTTAACTGCCTTCTCAAACATTTGCACGAGTATGTCCAGACGAGGCATGCATAGCTAAGAATTGGACGCAACATGTTTTTGTAAATGAGCAACTTATTATCAATAGATAGAACACTGTTTCGAGCAATTAAGGGAAAGAGTGAAGCTTTACTAGCTCGAAACTTCCTGAGAATATGTGTAACGTGTGGTAAAAGTCAAGTGCCCGCCATCAGTCGACGAATAAGGTCATTTTCTGAGCGAAGGTCTAAATTAATGAACTGAAGAATCTAGTATGAATATGCCCCAACACGTAAACATATAAGTAAATGTATGTTGCTCTTAAAATTAACACTAGTGTTAAGAACCGATAATTAAATTACTCGGTTTCTGCTAATGACAACAGCGTGGAGGGATGCGAGAAATGCAGTTTTAATTTTGGCCGAAGAGACGAAGGATAGAGAACTTGCAATTATATATAGATTAGCTTAATTGCAGTTCCAAGCTCTATGTGCGACGTTATAGATTAGCTAAATTGCAGTTCCAAGCTCTATGTGTGGCGTTAGAGTCTCCACGTGATTATTAAGAAAGAAAAACATTTCAGATCTCGTGGTGTTTGGGCAAGTATCATTAGATAGTTGCAAATCAATCAAGGATATATTCCAGAAAAAGGAAATTTCATAATGGTTGCTCACGTCTTTCAGCCATTTCTAATTGAAAGGAATTTAACGACGTTTTCGAGGAAAATGAAGAAATTTTCAAACTGCAAATATCAAAATACAATTCTTCATCCATTAAATTAGTAGTATTTATCATATTTATTACGTAACTATCAAAATGTATTTATTTTAGGGTGCAATTACAATTATACGAGTTTTCGGATACCTCTTTTGGCAAAAGGAAACTTGAATGTTACAGTAAAATTTTTGATTGTGGCAACTATGCGCATCTGTAGTATGGCGAACCTAACGAAAGCAGACGATATTAATTTTTTAATAAATGATGTTCCTGAACTTACTGAGGATGAAAAAATTACGCTCATTAATGCAATGAAAACAGCACAAGTAAATTCTGTTTGTCTTTTATATGATTGTGTTTCTTTTGCTATAACTCCTTATTGTATTTTAAATCACGGACATCTCTTGTTCATTTTTATCATTGGTAAAACATGATCAAATGACAGAATGTTGATTATTTTGAATCCTATTATCATACAAGATAAGGCGGTGATTCTGATCCTTGTCGTTTTATCAGAGTGCATTTCGTAAATGTTGTCTTTGTTAGCAGATTCGTATTCCACAAAGGATTATGAACATAAATATTAATTTCTCAAAGTCCCCTTTTCCGCAAAGAAAACTGATTTTTAAATTTGAAGTGGAGAAGTAATTGGGAATGAGTAATGAATGATAGTCATTCCTCTTGGAATAAATGTAGTGTTTTTTATCAAAATTTTTGTTTATGTGAAATTTGTAGGACTATTTCTTGTTTAATAGGAATTATTTCTCTGACGTAAGGCCATTTATATTTTACTTAATTCGTGAAAACTAATTACAGGTTAAGATTACGTCTAGCATTTTGGAATTTTTTTTTTTTTAAATACTTATTAACTCTAGGTTATTAGCTCTTAGGTTTGAAAACTTTCTTTGCAAAAGACCTTTAATAACTATGAGGAAAGTGTGCTGATTTATTAACTAAACTGTTATATAAAAATGTATTAAATAACTTATCAGAATCAAGTTAATGAATTTTTAACCAATTTAATTATAATAATTTATTAAACTGAAATCATTAGGATTACTAGTTTTCTTGTGATGTAATTTCCAAAACACACTTTCTCAGAAGTACTTATTGTGTTCGCTAATTACATTGTGGCTTCTGAAAAATTGCATATTTAAAAGTATATTTTAAAATATAAAATTCAGAAGATATCTCTTGGTATAATTTTAGGTAACACGAAACCATTACAAAAAAATCTTTTAATGAAATGTTTGTTTATTTCAGATTTCTGAAGTTTAGTATTTTAATTTTTCTTCCATTTAAACTAGAAATGTAAAGTATTAGATGGAGTATTTTTTTAATACAGCCATGCTTTTTTATTACAGAAAAGTCTCTTTTTAAAAATAAATGAATAATTAGCATTATGGCATAGCATGTATACTGCATTGATATGTGATGTTTTGAAAGAGCTACATTGCAGTTTATAATTGTTATAAGTACTAAAAATATTTTTTTTTTTTTTTTTTTTTTTTTTTTTTTCCAGCAAAGATAGAACTGGTGATAGAAATCTGTATGTATTTCAATAATAATATAGATTAAAAAAATAAATGTTAAGTTATAATAATGTGTCATGATCACTAGATTATATAGTCTATAAGTTGCTTGGTATAATTAAACGTATTTTGAATCGGAATTTTTTCAAATATTTGATTGATGTCTAAGTTATCAAAGATTAAAATGCTGAAAGCTAAATTCTAATTAATAGATTATTAAGTGTTATTTTGAAAACTATGTTTTCAATTCTATTGATATTATTTTGAATCGGCTAATTTGAAAACAGTAATGTAATTTTATTATTATTGCATTATTTAATGTGATTTTACAATTCATGCCATCATGAAAAACATGAACTATGATAAATAAACGTCTGTAACAGAAGATAAAATGATTCTTGTTTGCTTTGTGAATGAGTATAAAAACAATATTGGGTGCTACTTTGGTAGACGGTTGCACGGATTTTTGGCGATTTACGTTGGCCGAATTGTTGGCGCGATTTTTACAAACGTCAGCCATCTTGAAAAACGCTGTTTTTACGCATAGTAAAGTATTCGAAACTTAAAAAATAAATAAATAAATATCGTTAAAAAGTAATGGATTAATTTTTTTTGTTGAAAATGTCATTTTTTTAAGATGGCAGGCAAGTGTAAATAAATACATTTACTATGAGTATAAAATACTAAAGTAAGGTTATTATTACTTTCATATAGCAAAGAAGAGAATAAAAACACCACTATAAAAACATTGAGCCAACGTTTAATTAGATAAATATTACTGAAATTGAACATCGAATTCAAAACCATCATACCAACATTTAAAGAATTAGAATATTATTAAATTCAAATACTTTAAAATACGTTATATAGAATATAATTAACATTAAAACATATGGACAATAATTATCTCAGCAATTTCTGAAAATAGTGTATAATTTTTTTAACAAAAAATTGAAGTATACAATTATAAAATAAAAGAAAAATATGTACTTACATTTTTTTGAGTGTTTAACCTGCTGCTTATTGATAAGTAGCACAATAAAAAATCAGAATCTTAATTTAGATAACATCTTTGAAGACATCTTTGAAGGAATTCGAAGATATAAATTAAATTTTAAAACGGCGCGGAAATGCACAAATTGTCAGTAACCAATCAGGGAGCTGATTACAGCTCGTTAATGCACAAATATTCTATAACCAATCAGAGAGCTTATTACATCACGGCTAGAATTAAAATTATTTAAAAATTCATACATAATAAAATCATTTTTAAAAAAATGCAAAATTTAATTGTATTTTAATATTTAAGAGCCATAAATAATGTTTTAAAACATTAGATTAAATTTATACATATTAAAACGAAATTACTTTTTCAAAGTAAGGCGACGTCATTGATTACATCATCCACAACATAAAATTTCATAAAATATGATGAACAATAAAATTTTTATTTCAAATAAAAATGCAAAATTAAATTGATTTTTAATATTTAAAAGCCATAAATAATATTTTAAACACGGAATTTATGCACAATAAAACGCATTATTTTTTAAATAAAATGACAACAAAGTATCGGTTACCATAAATAACTTATCCAGCAATGGGTTTACCATAAGTTGTATTACTCGCCAAAGGAAAATCGCCAAAAAATCGCCAAAATCCGTGCAACCGTCTACCAAAGTAGCACCCAATATTGCTGAAATTTCATTTTACTTACATTAAGTAGTTAATCATATTATTTGTATTAGATTTTTTAGGATTTGTAAAGATTACATGTACAGGTATTTAATTATGATAAAATAAGTAGTTTATCTGGATTTCATTTAATTAATTAAATGACTTTTATATAATGAAAATTTAGTATTTTATTAAGAATTCTAGGTAATAAAATATATTCTTAAACTAAAGAGTGTATAGTGGTTATGCAATGAAATCTATGCTTAAAACAATTTTATGAGTAGTATCTATAAAACCCAGATGGGAAGAGTATAAATCTTTTTGGTACTATTCCGTTTTGAGGACCGTAAAAAAATTGCAGCAAAAATGTATGCGCAAAAGGGCCAAATCTAGCAAACGCGCACATTTAACAGCGCGCCAAATCTAGCGTACGCATTGATTTCAGATGTTGTATGTTTAGATAGTTCTATATTTCTTAAGACGCCATTGAAATACTAGTTTAATTTTTTAATTCTTTTTTGATATCCTATGGATTTAACAATTTGGAAATTTCCCATGGCGAAAAGTCTGCAATAGAATTTTTTCAAAGACAAGGCATCATTCATTATAGAAAATTATGTTTGAGCAACCAACGAGATGAAAGTATGCTTTAACGATGACTTGGTAGAAATAATAATAATAATCTGAAATAATTATTTACTCTTATGCTTCCATTCAGTTATGTTTAGCCTTTTTTATATATTAAATTATAATAATAAAAAGTATTATATGAAAATAACCTTTCATCTAAATTAAAACATCAATCTTGGATAGTTATTTACTATTATACTTCTTTCTTGCGTTAGGGTTGCAGAAATTATTTTTAGCAGCACTGGCATCAACAATAGTTTGGCGATTTTTTACAGTCCTCAAAACAGAATACTAGTACCTCTTTTAGATATGTAACTGAAACTAACATTTTAAATGCTTACTATAAATAAAAAAATTCCACTTTGCAAAATAATTGTAATGTGTTAGTAAATCACAGTTAACTCAAATTCACAGCTAATTTGGTGACAGTTAAAAATCACAAAAAAGAGGAATAACCCATTTTTGTAATTAACCCTCCGGGTGGCACAACATTTTGGATCTGTCATAAAGACCTGTATTTAAACATCCTTTATTAGATGAATTTATATATTTACGTATTTTAATCTCTATTTTCATAAACTTACATTCATTAAGATGACATTTATATTATTAACCCCTTCTTGATCGGATTTTTTTCAAATTTCTGACCTCCCAAAAACACGCTCATGCACAAAATGTCAAAAAGACTGAGATGCTCTGCTAAGTAGAATAAAAATCAGCGAGACATGACTTACTATCAGTCTTACCTTGTAAAATGCATGTAGTAAAAGTCTTTGGGGCAAGAAAATAATTCTAATACCATATTAAAAGCAAACATGGAAACTGGCTAGCCGCAAAATGTTTGAGAGGAGTAAATAAAACTTGCTAATAAGCTGGCACTAATTTAGCATTTAAAAAAATAGTGTTCATAATAATAAAGAAGTATCCAAAAATATTATTAACTGCTGTATTTTCAGGCAGTTTAATATGGAAAATGAGTTCATTTTGTTACATAAATTAAATCAATATTCAAAGTTCTCTCTCAAGTGTATGAATACTGCGGAGGGGGGGGACATTTCTATATCTCCCGTTCTACTGGGCCAATTGACGGAATTCAACTTGGATATGTATTTGACTTATCTACGACTTAAATTATGCCAAAGTGCTGAGTTTTGTAAAAATCGCATGAGTATTTTTTTTTTTTAAAATTAGCTCTCAAAATTTTAGCACCTCAATGTTAATTGAATTTGGTATATATTTATTAATATCTCTTGTTTTTATTAAACTTACTTAGTTCTTTCTTCCAGAATTTGAAACTTAGGCTTAATCCAACTATAATTCGTACATTTTCTATTATATACTTTAAAAATTTGTATTTTAAAATAAATTTTTAAAGCATTTTTGTATTAGAATCTATAAAATTTTTAACATTCTCTTTAAGTAGATGTATTTCTAAACATATCTGCAAAAACTTAGAGTTTTTTTATTCAAAATTTCCTAAGATATAT